ATCTTGTACCCTGCCATGTTCTGCTGATTTTTTAAAATTGTAATTAAGAAGTTTTTCATAAAATTTTCCATCTTAGCCATTTTATACATGCAGTCCCATGTCCTTCAGTACATTCACATGGGTGTGCAACCATATCCATCTTCCAAACTTCATCATTGTCTAAATCTGAAACCCATTGAACTGCCCCTGGCCCCCAGAAGCCACCATTCTACTCTTTTCTCTGTGAATTTGATCACTTATAGTTACCAGTCTTCTTGACTGTCTTGTTTCACTTAACATAGCATCATCAAGGTGCATCCATGCTGTATCGTGTGTCAGATTCCTTTTTAAGGCCTGTGTAACATATATAAATACCACATTTTGACTCAACATATAGAGCACCCACTGCACAAGCATAAGGACCTGAGTTCGAGTTCCCAGCATAAAGTGGGGCCTTGCCACAACCCTGTCATCTCATGACTGAAAGGAAATACAGCAGGATCTCAGAGCTTGCTGGCCAGCCCATGTAGCTGAAATAGCAAGCTACCGTTTGATGAGAGATGATTTAAAAAGTCAGGTGGAGAGAGACCAGCAAGATAAGCAGGTAAAGGCACTTGCCACTTAACTGTTTTCAATCCCCAGGACACAAAAATAAAGTGGAGAGTCATTGAGGAAGATGCCTGATGTCAACCTTCACACACACAGAAGCAGTTTCCTCCCCCCCCCCCCCCGCCGCCGCATACACACACAAATAGCATTGCCGTGGTCAGAATATTCTCCCATTCTTGTATAGTCTATACTGTCGTCTACTTCCCACCTTGTACCTGGTGTTTTTATGATCTGTGTTTTATATTTTCATTCTTCTTACCCAGAACCTGGCTTATAAGAGCTGTTTTTTAAATGTTTGAATATATATAGATGAATCTTGCAAAAATAATGGGTTTTTAATTTTAAATAAAATTATAAAAAGGAGACTGCTCTTCTTATAATCGTACAGTAAAATTGGTATTTTTGATAACAGTTAAATTTGTTAAGAAACAGAGGAGTTAGCAGGACAAAGAAAGTAGTTTGAAGATCCTGGTGAGGGTTGTGTTTGTACACCAGTACTGAAGAAGCCATTATTTCTGGAAGACTCAAACCTTTGGAGTCACAGGCTTCACCTGCTAACAGTGATTCAGCTCATTAGTGATGGACTTTTCGATTGATTCCATATGTCAAGAAGACAGTCCAAGAGGGAACACTTGTCTTTTTGTAACAGAGGCCTTGGTGGGGTTGAGCAGCTGTGTTTTACTGTCCTTGGGATCATAGATGGAAAAACTCTTTACTAATGCCATCTAAGCGCAAATGCTCATGGCCTGACTCCCTGGAATTAATGTTGCCATCAGCAGGTTGCCCCAGTGCCTAGAGTGTCACCTAAGAAGACAAAAGGTCTAATCAATCAAATAAGAGAACTAAACCAGCAATGCTTGCAATTTTTGTAAAGAAGAGAATTAACAAGAGACTGTCTGTAGGACCCCGCCTTTTCTGTGGATACCCACACCCGATCCAGGCACACGCTTTCCCCCCCCCAACTCAGGCCCACGAGAATGGACGACTGTCCTGAGGGTTTGAACAGACACACACAAAAGAGACCTTGCTCACTTACCAAAGAGTAAATGGCAACTTTATTAAACTCAAGTCGGGTATTTATACCAGTGGGCAAGGGGGAACAAAAGGGCAAGGCCTCCTCCCATCAGGAGCAGGAGAAGGAGATTACAGGCCCCGGCGCCTCAGGCAGAATCAGCTGGGAGGGGCCAGGCGTGTGGAGCCCACTGGTAGAACCTTGATTACAGGTGGAATCACCATAACAATGGAGAGCCAAGTTCTTCCTAAACTATCCCCTCAAGCCAGTGCTAGTGCAGAATCTCCAGGGAGCCGGAGGTCACACGGCCCTGCGAATCACCAAGGAAGAAAAGGGGAAAGACCTTGGTACCTACAACTGTCTATAGTTATTGAAGTATGGCATAGTGGAAGCCATGACAACTGTAGGACACAGGTATACAAAGTGGAGGGGAAGAGCTCTGTGTGCTTACCCTCATCCTATGGCAGGGACCGTCACTGAGCTCTGCTTATCTCCCAGAGGGACTTATGTCTGAAGGGCTGATGTTCTGCATCCTGAAGGTTTGTTAAGGAGACCCTTGATCTGTGCATCTAAGACACATCTGTGGGACAGCTCCAGGAGCCCACTAGTGAAGTGTGATCATTGTCAGTATCTTGGAAGGAGTGTCACTCCAGGGGATGAGTCCTCTGTAATTGGTTCTGGGCCAAGGCTCTAGGTATAAGTGGACAGTTCATCTGAGCAACTCTAACACCCTCCACTTTGAACACAAGCACCACTCATCCCTCATGGTATCCCAGACTTCTTTACCAAGACAGCAGGGTCTGTGTCACACCAAGGCCAAGGCCAAGTTCCTGCAGCAGGAACCAGGGTTGAGCTCATCCTGTGGTTGTTTAACTCACACTCCTGCACTTGTAACTAGAGCCCAGGCTCTGCAGTGGCCCCAGAGAGTGTGGAGATGTGTTCAACAAAAACTTGCCCTCATAGGCTCCTTGTCAGGGAGGGTTCTGGGAAAGACTGTTCTAGCACTCATGGTAATGGTGTCTGGTAATACCAAGCAAGGGTGAGTGACTGCCACACCCAGGCCTGAGTCAGACAGAAAGAAAAGAAAGTAAGGATAACTATGGAACAACACAGCATATGGACCAGAAGGTGCTTTTATAAAAACAGATGTGGAGGAATAGATACAAAGGGGCACAGAGGGACTATCCTAAAGGGCTACTCACCTGGCCAAAGACAAAAAGTTTCCCCATCTTCTCCCACATAAGACCCTGGTGTGTGTCACATATTATGTGGTATGTAAAGTTATGCAAACAAGTGTATCTGTTCACGGGAATCACAGTATAAAGGACACAAATCTGATCATTACATGAAGGCAGCACCTGGGCAACTGGATTCCTGAGTAATATGGTGACATGATTGAACTTTGGCCAGAATTGATAGAAACCAGAATGAGTGAAACGGGACAGAGCATGAAGGTGAACCCCCACCACAGAAGTCTGAGCCTCTGCCAGGGTCATGGGGGACAAGCAGTGAGTATGTGAGATCCCTCCCAGGCTGGGCAGGAAGGACATTGGAAGTCTAACAGGTCAGTTGTGGATCAGTGAGGCTCTGACAACCAAGAAAGGGAGGCAATGATTTGGATGGAGATGGGGGTCCATAACTGAGAGGGTGGGTGCCTGATATGGAGTGACAGGCTTTAGAGAGCTAGTAAGGTTCTGGGCTGGTGATAGGCATCAAAAATCATCAGTGTGTATAAAATCCTAGAGTGAATATGGCCCCAACAGTGAGGAGAAAGGCTTGAGGGGGTGAAGTTCTCCCTGGACTTGGCTTGGTGGAGAAGGGGCAGTCCATGCCAAAGTGACATGAGCAGCTATAACTCCTTTCCCAGGGACCAGCAGTGGCTTTTTCCTCCCATGTGCCATACATTTAGCAGTTCCTCCCTTGCCTCAGCTGCCAGGTAGCTCCAGAATAATTCTGTGACTTAAGTTTAGAAATTGCATGAGAAGCAGCACATCCAAAACTATTTCTAAATTATTTCACAATGTGTGTGCCTCTCAGAAATCATTTTTCTTATTTGTTGTCTTGGATGCTTGCAAAAGTGCCTTAAATCCTTTGTAAACTTGAGGAGGGTTTAACTATAAAAATACATTTTTCCATTCTCGTATTTCTGGGCTGTCCTTGCAACCTGAGCAGTGAGGCTGCCCAGTTGCTGAGTTAATATTGGCTAGATTGAAGCAAAAGGAATTCTTGGAACTTAAAGGAGCCAGACAGTAAATTTAACACGTAACTCATTAAAATAGGATAAAAGTGGAGCTTCAAACATCTTTGTGTTTGCCACCAAGTCCATGAAAGGAGGGAGTGCCCTAACACAGCTTGAGATGTAAAAGTGAGATCTTTCATAATCAGGAATGCAGACCAAAATTAAAGGCATGTCTGCATAGACAAGTGCTGTAAATGAGTTCAAAGAAAGAGCGAGGCATTGACTATACAAGGCCAGGATGTATGTTTGTTTGTTTTTAAACTTAGAGGATCATTTCTTGACTCAAATGTACTTAGTGGACAAAAGCTTACTCATCAGATAGCTTAAACACAAACTTTTGCAAGTGGTAAATTTTATTTTTGATCAGCCAGTATTTCATAAATTATAACTTGCTATAGGTCAAGCTAGTGGGAGCTAGGCATGGTGGTACACACCTGTAATCCCAACATTTAGAAAGTTGAGATAGGAGGCTCACAAATTTAAGACCAGCCTAAACTACATAGCAAGAACCTGTCTCGGGGGAAACAAAAGCCAGACAGTGGTAGCCCACACCTTTAATCCCAGCACTCAGGAAGCAGAGGCAGGTTGATCTCTATTGAGTTCAAGGCCAACCTTGTCTACAAAGTGAGTTCCAGGACAACCAGGGCCACACAGAGAAACCCTGTCTTGAAAAACAAAAAAGACAAAATCAACAAAAATAATAATCATTTATAAATGAGTTTAAAACTATTTTCCGCAGTTGGTACCTGAGAAAAGGCCACCAAGCACCAATGTGCCCAGTGTCACCCTATCCAGCTCTGAGAGGTTCATCTCTGCCTTATCAGGGCCCCTTCAACATGAGGCACTGACTGGCTTCAGGGTTCTACCCCTAAACGTGGCAGGATACATTTGGAAATCATCACACTGGCAGGCACAGTGCTAACTTGCTGTTATGATCGTCAGTGTTAGGGACGGGGTGAATAGGGCTGCACAGCTGAGCTTGGTTATCAGCCCCACCTTCTAGTCTCTCTGACTTGGGGTTTAATTCTTCCTGAAACAACTTCCTTGACCATCAACTAGAATGACCAGTGATAGTACAGAATAAAGGAATAGGCAAATGTGGAAACCTGCAGAAGGGAGGTTGCCTGCCTCTTACCATTATGTTCTTTCTCCGTTTCCCAGGAAGAACCCATCACCTTCTGTGAGGAAGCCTTCGTGTCCCACTACCGCTCTGGAGCCATGAGGCAGTTCCTACAGAATGCCACACAGCTGCAGCTCTTCAAACAGGTACCCAGCCTCTCTTGGCCTGTGCCAGGTCTCTAGTGGGCATTTCTGTAGCTGTATTCACCTTCAGCAATAAGAATGAGGGGAGGGAGGAGATAGGCCTGGGGAGGACTGGGGAGCGGGGCTGGTGTAAAAGGGGCATCAGGTGCCTGACAGGTCCTTGACTTGCAGTTTTCTGAGTTAGAAATGCACAGCCAGCATTTTCGAGAGACTTGTGGTTTTCAAAGGGCCTTTCCCATCTTGAACAATTTGGCTGATCTTGAGGATAGACCTTAGTGCCCAGTTGAATGGCTCCCCTGTTTATAGACAAGCTATGGTGTATTTGTTCTTTTTCTTTCCAGTTTATTGATGGCCGTCTAGACCTTCTCAATTCTGGCGAAGGTTTCAGTGATGTCTTTGAGGAGGAGATCAACATGGGCGAGTATGCTGGTAAGACGCTGCCCATGGCGTTTCTGGCACAGATGGGATTGTTTTCTTCTTCGGGAGAGGGCACGGGGAGACAGACTTCAACCTTGACCTTGGAAGAATTGGGAAATTCCTCACTGTTTTGTGACAGAATGCATGTAGTTTGGCATGTGAAGCCTCTGATTCCCAGAGTTGTTACTTCTCTTAGGTAGAAAAATCTGGCAGAGTGTCATGGCCAGCATGATGCAAGGGACACTTAACCAGATTCTGAAGTAGGGTAGCTAAACTCAAATGGGGCCCTTGCCTCATTCTTAGTTGTGACATCTGGGCCAAGTCATGTCCATTTTCCAGGCAATGTTCTCCCACTTCTACACTGACAGTGTCACAGACTACTTCGCAGGACTATAGTGAGGAACTGAGTTATGAGCAGCATTGTACAGTACCCCAAGACAGTCCTGATCATCGCATCAATGCTCAACACATGTTTCTGTATAGCATGAGCATCGTCAAGTTGTGCACAGTGATAAGTAGTCCCAGCCATAGGAAGGCTGAGGAGGGATCACTTGAGCCCAGGAGTTGGGATCAGCCTGAACAATACAGTGTGAGACCCTTTCTCAGACAAACAAATAAATGAAAAATATGCATCATTGTTGGGTGGCCAGTCTCAGAGGGATCATCCTCTCATTTTTCAGTGGAAACATCTGAGGCGTGTCAGTAGTAATGAGCATCTCCTGAGTCCCAATCTGACTTCTTCTTCCCACACACCACTGGTTCTATCTTTGATGTCAGAGATGACAGTACATACATTTAGTTTCATGGGGTCAAAATAATGATGCTATTTTACTACTAAACCTGTCCAGTCTGGGCTGTGCTGATGACCTGAGCAACAGTGCACAGAGGCAACTTCACATCCACCTTGATTGGGCTGCCACACCACAATTGTTAAAGCAGTACAGAGTCTCTGGACATGTAGACTGTCAACAAGCATTCCCCGAACATGGCACCCAGAGCTGAGTAAACAGTATGAGCACTAGCTCTGGTCCTTAGGGAAAGAGATGGATGACTAAGGCAAACACAAATTAAACCAGGAGGAGAGAGGCTGAGTTGTGTGTGGTTGGAATAGAGCTCCATTGACTCTTATTCCACCATTCAAGAGCTTAAAGATGGAGCAGACTCTGGGTCAAGTTCTGACCATGGCAAAGGGGTTCAGAGAGAAGACAAGCTCTGTATATTGCTGAAAGTATCCTGCTGAGACCTCATTGGCCCTCAGAATGCAACGAACAGGACTCACCCAAAAAGCCCTGTCACCAGGAAAATGTACCAAAGGTAGCTTGTGTGTCCAGCAGGATTCCTACACTAGATAGTCAGCTCTGGTGACTCATGGTACATCAAAGAATATGAATGTGGCCTGAGGAAGGAAGAAGATACATGCATAGTGTCCTGAGTTCAAGCTTCAATGCCACCCAACCTTGCACTATGTCATGACGATCAGAAGTTTAAGGTCATCTTGGGTGACAGAGAAAGCTAGAGGCCAGTATAAACTACATGACACTCTTTCTTTCAAACAAAAAATAATTGTAATAGAAAGAAGAGAATGACGCTCCAGAGGATCTAACATTTAGCTGTCTGTTCTGTTCACTTCGACACAGATGGCAGGGGATGGTAGTTCCTCTCGATCAGAGTGCAAGACTGTGCCAATGGAAGCATGGGATGGAGAGGCAGGAGCTTTTACTGTGGGCACTGGTGTGGGCACTGGTACAGACAACTCACTGAGGATGAAAACCTGCAGCCTGACTCACTGCCACTGCTGCAGAGCCTCCTCACCTTCCTAGGCTGTAAGCTTTCCAGTCTGCACAAGGGCAATTTAAAGAATTCTTTTAAATGGCAGCCTCTCTCCCTCCTCTTCCTCTAGGCAGTGATAAGCTGTACCGTCAGTGGCTGTCTACAGTGCGGGTAAGTGTGCCCCATTCAGAGCCACTTGGTTTCCTCTCAGCCTCCTGGTAGCCCTCTGCTCCTTGGCCACCTACAAAACTGCCCCAAGATGCAGAACATGTCTTTCTCTCAACTGAAGATGCTGTTGTTTTAATGCCAGGCTACCATCCTATGGAAGAGACTAGAAGGAGACAGTCTTCCTTAATGGAAGACAAGGAGGCAGGAGAGTCTGCCAAGGCTCATGGAATGAAGTATTATTCTAGAACATTTCCTTCCATGACCAGGCAGTTGTCATGATCACAGGGAAGCCAAAGATGTGTCCTACTTGCTACCCTGCAGTGTCTTTCACAGCAAGGGCTCCTGGGAAAATGAAGGACATATCTCTGGGAGACTTTTCTTCACCTTCTTACTGCTATTGTGAACAACGTCTTGTCGAATTGGGAACCAGGTACTCAGAGCTCCTTTGGCCTCTAAGGAATCCAAATTTTACCTTACTTTTCCATGACTTTCTAATTGAGTATGTACTCAAGGCCTACTGTGTGCCAGGGATAGCTGGCCTCTGGGAATCCAGAGCGGGGCAGGTCCTGCCCTGGGGGAGCTCCCCATCTCGTTAGGGAGGCAGACACGTAAACAGGCAACTCCAGCATAATGTGATAAGTGTTCTCTCCTGCTCTGGGGCCAACCGCAGCTGCTGCCAAGCAGGTCCCGTGGAAGTGGCTGCAGTTGGCCAGAGTAAGCAGCTCCCCCATGAAAGACAGCCTTGTTCTTAGATGGCCAAACACAGCACTTGGCACATCAGAGGCAAGCAATAAGGACCTGTTGATTGATTGATAAAGGGAGTTTCAGTACTCCAAAGGACCCTTTAAACGGGGTTCTGAGGAATTTTGGAAGGCAACATGGAATAGATGAGTAGGTGAAATTTTCCTGTTGTTCTACAGCAAAGAATGCTTTCTAGGTCAAATTGTAATGTTTTTTATTAAAACTCAAAATTTTTAAGGCGAGCAGTTACCAACAATTGTGCTAAAAGTTGAAATAACAATTACTATCATCAACATTTGATTAAAAGTCTTCCAGAGCATAAACTTTACCCTGGGCCTGGCATTCCAGGCTCTTGTAACCACTCCATGTGGCCTCCCAGCCTCATTTTCACCACAAGTCAAGAACCCCTTGCCCTCTGAGAGCATACCCATAGCTCCCAACTTCTGCACTCCTTTATGTACTGTTTGCTATCCCTAAAAACATTAATTCCTACTATTTTCCAAATTAATCCCCCCGCCTCCTCCTGCATGGCCCAGGTCAAAGGTTTTCTGTTCCAGAGCCCTCCCCAGTCTTCTGGTCTCCAAACTCCCAGTGCAGCTCCTACCATCCAGATGTTATATGAACCCTGGTATGTCCCTCACCTACACACAGAGTCTGGTGGTCTTCAACTGAACCCTCTTGGTTCAGGGTCCTTACAGCCTTACAACATGTTACCAGGGTATGGTTGGAAATGGGCTGTGCACTTAGCCTTTCTCCATATCTTCTTTCCATACTCCCCAAGGAAAGTGATGAACCATAATGCCGGCGGGTCCTGGTTGATCAGGACCCTGTTTTCTTCCCTAGCTTAATGTTAGCTAGATAGTTCAGTTATGAAATATGACTGAGCACTACCTACGGTAGCTAGAAATTCTTTAAAGAACTACTTTTAACCATCAGGAAACCCTTACCTCAGGTAGCCTGGACAGGAGCAGATACTAAGCAGAACACTGAGCCCATTGTCTGCCCTTGACTAGTTATCACATGCCTCTTCCCCAGTCCCCACACATGCTTACACACACACACACATACACACACACACACACACACACACACACACACACACACACAGAGTCTGCCATAACCCTAACTGACCCCAACCAGTGACCACCTGGGCCTGCTTCTCTTCTCACTCACTCTGGAAATGTTGCCTGGCCTGATTAAAGAGAAACACTCACTGTTGGTGCTGGCCCACTCTCTCTCTAGTCCACATTGCTGATTGACATTTTTATTACAGAAAGGAAGCGGAGCAATTCTGAATACTGTAAAAACAAAAGCTAACCCAGCCATGAAGACTGTCTACAAGTTTGTAAGTATTGGTCACAGTCTGGAAGCCATGGGTGGGTTCTTTCATGTAACCTCTTTTGTTGTTGTTATTGTTCTTGTTGTTGGTTTTGGTTTGTTTGTTCTTTTCAAGACGGGCTTTTTCTGTGTAGCCCTGGCTGTCCTGGAACTCACTCTGTAGATCATGCTGGCCTTAAACTCAGAGATCTTCCTGTCTCTGCCTCCAAAATGCTAGGATTGAAAATGTGTGCCACCACACCCAACACAACCTGACTCTTCAGTGTACCAATATCTAGATTGCAGAAGTGATCAAAGGGTGGCCATGCCATTTCTTAACAATCTCAGCGTTCTGAGAATTGCTTGGCATTGCTGTTTTATGTGCATGGTGGGAGACCACTCCTCATTTCTAACTTCTCCATGTCAGGTTACATGTATAGTTACATAGCAGGGAATGTGGAGACCAATTGGGGAGGGCCTCTGTTTTATAACCATGACTATGTGCATGGTGAGAAGACTGCCCCCGCCCCAGTTCTGTCCCGAATTCTTCATCCTCTCTTTTGGCACTGCTCTATAGGAAGTGCACTGTGAGACTCGGGCCCGCAGCAGGTGAGGGGGGATCCGGCAGCTCCAGCACTTAATCTTTCACAAACCTCAAGCACTGTTCTTGTGGTTTTTTCCTCCTTAATCATTTGACCCTGAGCTACACACATGGGTTGGCTTTGTTTTATTTTTATTTTTAATTGTGCCAGTGTTTCCTGTACTTAGACTCTGGTTACTATAATGGATAGGTGGCCACCAGCAGAGATACACAGGTCAAAACTGGCAGAAAGTGGAGGTCAGGGTGTCCACCAAAATGAAATTTAGGAAATGGCACTATAAAAACCTGGCAGCTGCTGTCGTGTTTCAACCCTTCAGCCCAGAGAGACTGCTCCTGAGGCCCTGCCCTGGTAAGGTATAGTGGGTGTTCTGAGTCTTGTGGCAGGTAAAGCTGCTGTTCTTTTACTGGTACCTGTCACCACGCTGCCAAGGTAAATAATTATGGAGAGCAGAAGAAAGGCCTGGGAAGGAAAAGAAGAAAAAAGTCTCTGCTGTCAAATGCAAAAATGGAATCTCTGCAGCGCCTTTAAGGGATTTTTTTTTAACCTTTTACCTTTGTGTTTGTTTCCACAGCCATTATATTTTCAACTTCATGATCCCATTTTTCCTTTTCCTAGTAATCAGAGAAGGTGGTTCATAGTGGACTGAAATCAAGCATAGACCCTGCTGGAAACAGAAAAGAAATCTTAACTTAAATTAATTTTTCATGCAGGCAAAAGATCATGCAAAAATGGGAATAAAAGAGGTGAAAAACCGCTTGAAGCAAAAGGTACTTGAAGTTCTTATTCAAAATGTATAAGCACCGTGTATGAAATGCGTGGCCACAAAAAAGTAGGATGTGATCAATAGAGGGTTGTTTGATACAGTGTTGTTAGCACACTTCAAAATGCATTACCAGCTGTCCGGGAGTTTCACACTGTTATAAATATTCACAGACAAAAAACTGTCTCCAAATAACATTAAGACTCTTTGTGGTCTTAAACCCACAAAGGCGAGTAAGTTCATAGTTACCACAGTCCCTCGCCCTGCCCCACCAGGCCTGGGGTTTGCAGGTGTCCTCCCCACCACCACCCTCTGCCATAGGTCTTGGCATAACCTAAACCATAAAAACATGTCCAGAGAAAGGACCCCTGTGGTTCTGGCACACACATGGTCCCTACACAAACATGCACAAAGAGTGAGCAGGAAGGGAATGTTGTGGTTCTCCCACCACACTGCACCAAATGAGAGTAGCCTAGCCTATGTTTAAGGCAGTCAGGCAAACAGAGGCTCTGTGGTCCTTCCGAAAAATTGCATGAAGTCACTGTACCTAAAATTTCCCCAACCTAAGTCTACAGGGAGTACAGCAAGGTGACCAGAGCAGGGGCCTTTTTGGTACTTTTGCAACATGACCTCTGATACTGTGATTGCCACTCTTTGTTAAAGATGGGCCAGACTAGGAGCTGTCACCCCAAATTCACAAAGCTGTGAGTGAAGTAATTGTCCAAGGCCACAGTGTGTGAGCCCAACAGAAATAGGATTAGATCTCAGCTCTGGTGGCCTCCACTGTGAGAATACTGCCATTCTCTACTGCCTGGTGCCCTCCCAAAGAAGTGTTTTCTTTGGTGAAAGATATCTGAAGTCATTTTCCCCACACCTCTAAATGTACCATTATCTTAGCATTTTGTTTTGATTTTAATTGAAAGTAGTTTCAACTTTATAAAGTCAGAAAAATCCTCATTAACTTGAAATGGGTCGAAGGAATTGATTCTTTTTTTTTAATTGGAAAATAATTTGCTCTGACTAAGCATTTACATTCCTAGCTTCTCTGACAGTGAATTCTTAACAGCTGAGGTTCTCATCCTGCGATCCAAACCCTGTAACACAAATTCACACAGCCCCATGTCGGTCTGTTCATCCTGCAGACACTAGGAGCTGTGATTCTTTAGCTGGTTGTTATTTGAGTCACTAGTCATACCTTTTCATCTTCTGTCCAGTCATGTGGACCTGAACTGGATGTGTCTAGGAGGGAGCTTTTCTCTCCCCAGTGTCTAGATTGTAGGCTTTGGTTGGTTAGTATATTTCCTGAAATAGGAAAGGCGGGGTTTCTCCCTCAGGTGCCAGACAAATGGCCTCATGGGTCTCATTGCTTCTGCTGACCATGAAGCCAGGGACTCAGGGACTGTCCTTCACAATCTTTCCCACCACTCATGTATCCGCAGCAGCCAGCTGAGCCCAAAAGCTCATTTACACAGTCTAGATCATGTTCCTTCCACACTCCACCTTTTCCTTCATTTGCAGACTCTAAAGCCAATTTCTGCCCCTCCTCTTCTCTCTCCCCAGCCCACGCCAGTCTCTTCAAGAATAGCTTCAGGAGATAATGTTCTGTAGAGGGTGTCAGTGCACCTCATGTGACACAAATGGTAAAGGCATTTTATAGAAATGTGGCTTGTCACCACTGGACTGTTGACAGATCTATTAGTGCACCCTTTTCAATTTTCACTTCCCCTTCTCTCTTACAGATTTCCTCAGACTTGATATTTTGCAGTTGTTCTTGGAAGAGCTGTTTTGTAATTGAAACCCCAGTATTGTTCAGTATATATAGGCACCTGGTCTCTGGTGATCTCTAGCTCTTTTTCTTGAGCTAATTTAGGATATGGCTTCCCCTGACCTATCTCACTGTAGTGGAAAATATTTCCTTGACTTTTTTCTCCCCCTTCCACCCACCCCTTCCACACTACATGGAACCTGTCGCTATGGCTCCCTGATGCACCTAACACAAATATCACAAGTTTGGTTTCTGCTATGAAATTGAGGCAGTTGCCAGCAAAGACCCAATTTTCCAACATGCAAGGTTGCCACCTTGCCCTCCTCAAACTCAGCATAGCAATGATGACCTTGCACATATAATCAAGAACCCAAGTCTGCCCTCTTTGCTCTTGCCTTGGGTTTGAATTGCAAATAGAGAATGTGAGGCTGACCTGAAGAGAGGTCACCATGGTGTGTGGAGGGTCCATCTCTAATGCGACTGAGCAGGGCCCCTTTCCCATCCCTTGTTCATTTGTGCTATAGATTTTTCAAAGCCTCTAAAATAGCTTTCAGGGTAACTGTGACCAGTGACAAGTGATTGTTCATAGATCCTATAGTGTGGCTTTATTCCACATCTGCTCTGCTTCCCCGGGGACAAAAAGAAGAAAGAAAGATGGAGAACATATTCCTCTGGATAAACAGAACAAAGTGGCCAACTTCTGCTGTAGACTGGCCTCCTTTGAAGTCCTACCTACTAAGAGATAGGAAGTAGAAAAGACAGAGATTTAAGCCGTGGCTTCCTCAGGGAACCAGTGGCACTTCCCTGGGGTCATGTCCTCACCTGCAGCAGAGTATCAACAAGTTGCATTGCTTCCCTGGTCCAGGCTGTCCAGAGAATGCCACTTTAAATCCAGTTGCTGCACCCGCGCCCTCTTCATCTGTTGGTACCGCTAAGACACACACAAAAGAAAATATTAAAGAAAATACTAAATAATAAAATCTGTAAATTTTTTTTAGTATTAAAATGCTTTAGCCAAATGGGTCCATTTCATAGCCATTTGGAAAGTTTCTAAATTTTAGATTTATTGAGCTTGCTTAGTATCACTGTGACTGAGAGGAACAAACCCATAGTTGGCTTGAGTTTCTAGGCAAACACTTGCAAGCACACTGAAGGTGTGAGCAGGCATGTGGGGAGTGGGGAGAACAGGTAGACTATTGCAGAACAGACATTTTCACACCTTATCACACAACTGTCAGCTCCTTGTCTTTAGACACTTTAAAATATGCTGCAACCTCGATTACTGAGACTCCAATTTGGCTACTAGTTTGATATCAATATTCATATTTTAATTTACATTTTCTGTTATGGGAAATAGTCTAGGAAAAGACAGGTACAACACAATTCTCAAAGAGGAGAATGTTTCTTGCATAAGCCACTCCTCCTGCTTTCCCCCAGTGGCCTATCTTGGAGATATGGCATTTGGCCTTCTGAAGCCTACCAGAAGATTCAGTCTGGTTGTGTAGGATATTAACTGTGTGGCCCTGAGGACGTTACCAGCCCTCTCTGTCTGCCTCATCCATTAACTAGGGACCATCTTAAAAGAGGTAGCATGTTAACCATAGAACTTAGCAGCAGTTCCATAAGTGAGAGTGCATTCTCTCCATTTTTTGGCCTCATACCTGGAATACACAGTTTGCCCAAATAGCCATGTGTGCACAGCTGAGCGATGGCTGCTATGAGACCACCTCCCTTTAAACTGCTTACATAGCCACAAGAGGAATCTTTCCAGACATGGCTCTGACACAGCTACATTTTTTTTTATTAAAGCCACCCTGACCTTGCCAACCTCTGCCTGCCCAGCAGAGAGAGGGGTGTTCTAGCTCTTCTGCGAGTGCTGGACCCTACTCCCAACTCTAGTGTAAATGCCTGGCCTGGCCTTGCTTCTCTGTCTCAGAAAACCTGTCCCCAGCTCCTCCAAAGGCCTTAATGGCCCACTTTGTTCCCCCTGGCTCACCAGGTCCTGGCTTCATGCCCCTGCCTATTTGCTGATGCTCATCCGTAGAGAAGGGTCATGTGCTATGCCTATCTTCTCCACAGAGAGGTAGGGTGTTTTTATTCCTGGGAGCTCTGGGAAGGTGATAGGAATAGAATTCTCTTCAACTTCCTGTGTTCTGCTTAGTGGAGCTCTCCCTGCCTGTAGCCTTGAGGCTCCTGGGAAGAATTGGTTACTCAGTGGTAGCCCCTGAGTTGTAGCTCTGTCTTCCTCCTGTGTGAACCTTCAGGAAGGAGTTGGCCCACCCCACCCTTGCAGCCCCTTATTTCCCTTTTTAAAAAATGACATTTAGAAGGTCAAGTTTTTGTTTTCCATTTGCCAAAATGTATGCTTATTGGGAATTCAACAAGTCAAGAGAGAAATAACATCCCTTCCAACTGCATTTTCTGTGGTGTGCACTGAACATGCCCCGCCTTCTAAAAAGATTCTTCCATGTGTTCTTGTTTTAAATAGCCCATACATTTTAATGGCTGGGCATGTATACACACACATATATACACATACTATACATACACATGCAATCATACAACACATGCATGCATATACACACACATACTACACATATGTATACATATTGTGCACAAACACACTCTTTAATTCTGTTATTGGACACCTGAGTTAACTTCTAAGTTTCTTCATTCAAAAACATTTCTAGAAATAGAATTAGTGAGCCACAGGGCACTCACATCTTGCAGCATTTTTGTGTAAACTTCCAATTTGTCTTCCTCTCAGGAGGGTGTCAGGGTACCCATATCCTAGTCCCTTAGCTGATGTCAGTTAGTTCTTGGGCCATAGTTTCTTTAATCAAGCAATGCAGACTTGGTCCTCTGGCTCCTATTCACACAATATGTCTGCTATTCAATGGAAAAGAGGATACTCACTGTATTCATTGCTCTCTTGACCCATGCTCCTCCCACTCAGCTCCCTGTGGCATCCTAGGAGGAAGCAGTTGTCCTTCCCCAGATGGAGGAAATAGTGAAGAAGCTAAAAACTCAATGGGAAGCCATGAGAAAGTACAGAAACTCAGGCCTCTCTGGATGCTCTAACTAAACAAAATGTGGCTTGCAGACACGCAGGCACATTTACCTTTCAGATGCTAGCTCAACTTAACAGATATTTGTGGGGCAGCTGTCCTAGAACACCCAGATCCCAGGGACCTCCCAGTCTGGAGAGTCCCACAATAGATAGCATAGGGCATGGCAGCCTGTGACCAGGTTAGCCAGAAGGAAGAGGAAGCCATTTCTGATGGCCCAGCATCACATATGCTGTTGTTAGAAGTTGGTTTGATTTAAATGTCACAAGCCCGTATTTTAGGGTCCTCCACTTTGTCTCTGTGATCTTGAAGAGGTTTCCCTGACTAAATCCCATTGCTTCATCATAAAGAAAAGATAATCCTATTTACTTCATAAACATCATTAGAATGGAAATCAGTGGTTAGAAGAGTAGCCACCAGGGTTAGGTGCCCCATACAGGGAAGGGAGAATTGTGTCCTGTGCACTGTGGTCTCTCAAAGCCTCCTTCTAGCTCATCTCATTTAAAGCATCCTCCACAGACCTCTACCAAACAACTGAAAACCTCCCTGTTGTAAAAACAAAGAAACTGTTGCAGAGGTTGAATGAATCTGAAAGATTAGGGAAGCTAATTGGTGGAACAAACAGATAAAATTAGAAGTTAGCAGTTTTTACTTAAAGCTTAAACTAAGACACTTTCCCCCCAATTATCATGTTTTCTTTTAAAGATATTTTATAGTTTCCTAGTTAATACATTTTCCTACCATGTGACCTTGTAGCTCCATTTCTTTTCAGCTGTGCGCGCGCGCGCACACACACACACACACACACACACACACACACACACACAAACACATACAAACAAACACACGGTGTGGGGTATTTTCCTGGACCAAAAATGGATTTATTATGGTTTGGCCTCATTCGCCCTGTGTTAATCCTCTGGATGCACCCACACACACCCAAAATGCCCCTTTTGCCCTTTTGTTGCTCTCTGACATGGAAGGAACCTCTCCCCTACTTTGTTCCATTTGACCCAGGCACCTTAGGGCAGCCCCTTTCCGAACAATCCATTTCTAATTGGCTGTCGGCAGCCCCTTTCATCACTGAGCCTTAGCTTAGAGCTGAGACTGGCCAATCCACTGTTGACCACATTACCCAAGCCCTGTTTGTAAGGTCAAAAGGTCATCACCTTCCTGTATCCCTGACAAAGCAGAGACTCTTCTGGGCTGCCCAAATAGCAGCTAATTCTTTAGAAAAGGAAGCAGGAGGCTGGTAGTTGATGTATAAGACTGTTCACACACACACACACACACACACACACACACACATACACACACATATACACACATGTATAGAAGCTATCTGTTTCATTCCAATTACCTATTGGGTAGCTAAAAAGTTCTAGGCATTTATATTATATTACCTATCCCCTTTCATCCCTAGCTCCTATACACTCATTTATGGTAAGGAAACTGAGGCTCAGAAGTGTTACCTTTGTTTCCTCTTTAAAACATAATTTTAACTGCTAAGTAACCGCTTTCCCTCTGACTCATGATTTTCTAGGTTCACTTAAAAAAAGAGTGACCAATGATCAGAAATCTCTTACATGGAGAATTTGAGGAATATTCTATCAACCAAAGCATACAATTGTTTCTACAATGGAAAGAAATGGATGTTGTTTAATTCAGATTGTGAATTATTTTTAGATGGTGAAAAATTATTTGAATGTTATTTATTTGTACCTTTATTATTCTGGCTTGTCCTAAGTATCTTTCTTGACCTCAGTAAAATCAATAATGCTTATTGCTTATTGCAGAAGGGGAGCACATCAAAGTTTTGACTAGCTCACACCAGTAACAGCTGCAGCCAGAGAAGCCCTGGATCACACTAGTGCTCCCTGACAGCCACAACCAAAAAGCTGTGGTCGACCCTTGTCCTTACCATTTGACTTTATTCCACAGACACACAAATGAAATGTAAATGTTTAGGTTTTAAAAGCTTTCCTTCCTCCTGTAGATACTCTACAGGTCAGAGAGACCCTTTGGTCCTTCTAGAAATACGAGGAGGAGGAAGGCAGGAATGTGATCTGTAGCACCCACCAGTAAGCAGAGAAAAAGTCCACAGCTGCAAATAATCAAAGTAGTGCAAATTAAAACAACAATGGGGTCTAATTTTTCACCTATTAAATTAGCAATCCATTTTTAAATGATAAGGCTAACAAGTACTGTGAAGCTGATAATACACCCATTTCAGGGAGTTGCTGTAAATTGGAAAGCAGTTTAGTAGAATGAATAAAAAGCCTTAAAAAGTGTTTATATGTTTGACCTCATGCTTTCATTCCTAGGGATTTCCACAGAAGCAATAATACAAAAGGAAAGAACATTTTATTGCTAGCATTTAGAAAGGAAAAATAAAAGAAAAAACCAAATATCCAATAGTTGTGGGATGAGTTATTAAATCATTAAATGTCTGCTCAGTGAAAATATTATGCACCCACTGAAATTATTATTATAATGACTTTGAAGCACCATGGTAATGCTTATATTAGAGAAAAATAGGATATAAAATTATGCATGAGCTGTGATTACGGGTAATTTTTAAATGTCTGCATATAGACAAAGTAAACATGTGAAAATGAAAATAGCCATGGAAGAATATAGAATGAAATACTTTTTTTTCACCTCTGTGAATTATTATGTTTATAGTTTCATGTGGATGATTTTGGCTACTTTGGTGCAGCAAAGTCAAAGGGCCAAGTTAGTGTCTATTTCCTCCACCTCTCTCATGGGTCAGGCTTAGAAACTCTGCAGGGAGTTCTTAGCAGGCTTCATGGCTTGTGGGGATGAGGTAAGAGGACAAAGGGCCAAGACCCCAGTGCCAACCCCAGACCTTTCTTCTCCCTGCAGGACATCGCCGAGAATGGCTGTGTCTCCTCTGCAGAAGAGTCCCTGCCAAAGACCCTACCATCCACACTGGAAGAGGCCAAGGACCCCAGACTTCGAGAAGACCGGAGACCTATCACAGTCCACTTCGGTCAGGTATGTGCTGTGCACTTCCAAGGGGCTGGTTTGAGTTTTTGATTTTGTCAAAAGCTGAAACATGAGCAGCCATAGGTTCACACCCCAGTTCTTCTTCAGCAAAGCAACACCATGTTTTTTGTGCCATCAAGTGTTTGACACAAATATATTTTGAAGGTGAATTTTCAAAACTCTGGGTGGGGACAGCATAGCATTGGTCATCACTAGCTCCACTGTTAAATACAGTCATTAAATGTACCTGCTGTCTCCCCCACTCCAAGGCACTGCATTTAAGGTGCCTGTTAGCTAAGCATCTCATTAGAACACTTTGGCATCCCAGGCCCTTCTTTGCACCTTCAAATAAAAGGCAACAAGCAAAGGCTCAAAAAAATCAATTAGGAGTTCTTTATTAATGTACTTCCTGAAAATCAATATTGGGAGTTGTGCTTCTTGGAGTAAACACCCTTCCTGTGGGTCTAGAGATCCAACTCTGTATCCAACTGCTTATAAGGGTCTGAGCACTTAAAAAATTGTCTATTCATTTGATTTTGTTTCTTTCCTCTTAAGTAATACACTCTTTACAGAAATTGAAATTTTCATCCATTTCCTACCTGTGGTTCTCTTTTCAATTAAAAAGATAATGTACTCTTCCCTACTTCTCTTCAATCAACTGCTCTACTTATCAAAGATAAATGTATTATGTGCGCTGTATGTGGTTTAGTTTGGTGTTTTTTGGTTTGATTTGGTATCTGAAACATGGCTCTGTTAGCAAGATATGGTTGTAACAAGAGTTTGCAAGGTTTCTTGTTGTTGCTGTTTGTTTATTTGATTGATTGATTTTCTGGCACTGGAACTGTAACCAAGGACCTAGTACTCTTGCTCAGCCAGTACTGTTGTACTACTAAGCTTAAGTCTCCCGATCCTATAGCCATTCCCTAGATGAGGTATGACTTTTATTTACTGTAAGTAGGATTGCTAGTTCACCTCAGAAAAGGCCCAGAATCCTGCATTTAAGCATTTCTTGTTTTGAGAGACATTTATCGGGTGCTTAGTGTGTATCAGGCATTGAACTATTTAAAAATAAAGAGAACCAGACCCTTGAGATGGCTTAACAGGTAAAGATGCCTGAAGCCAAACCTGGCAATTTAAGTTCAGTCCCCAGCTACTGTGTGGTAGGAGAAAACCGAGTCTCTCTCCCAATTTGTCCTCTGACCTTCACATGTGAGCCATTGCATGCACACATCCATGTCTGTAAGCAAACACACATAGAAACAATAAGTAGCAGTGTTAAAAGGAGAAGAGAACCAGCAAGCCTGTCACTTGTTATTGTTATAAAGCACAGCTGGCTGAAGCGTGAGAATCATCCTTTTCTAATCAGTCTTTTCGGGTAATATGCCTCATTAATTGGGGAAATCCACCCCTTTTCTGCTTCCACACTTAAAGCGGCTCTTCTAGCAACTGACAGGTACTGTAAAGCAGAAGCACTGACCAGCATTCTCTGTCTGCACCCTGAAGCCCTGCCTCCTGTGGGGCTCAGGGTCTGTTGGAGCAATTCTTACCCCAGTTACTGGCTATGTTTGCTGAAAGCACAGTTCTGGTTGTCGCCAGGATGGCATTCCAGAGTCAGCTTCCTGCTTCCCTTTGTCCTCATTCCTGCACATGCGAACCTGCCCATGAAAGGAGCCCTTGCTGGAGTCGGGAGCCCTTTGCAAAGAGGGGGAGAGGGATTTCATGGTGTTAAACATTCCATTTTCAAAACACACAGAAAAGGAGGTCCTATTTGAGACAGAGAGACCTTCTTTCCATTTTAGCAAGAAGTGGAGAGAAGCTTTAATGTTATTTCCAGCTAAACGTAAGAATAAGAGTGTGTGTGCTTACACGGGAGGGGATAAACAATTAAAAAAGCCATCCCAAACTGTTGAAATAAGAACTGTCTGTGCCTTCACAGGTCTGCAAACTGAAGAGGATGAAAGTGGCTTTCCCCATTTGTCACTTCCCTCATGTGGCTGCCAGCATTATGCAAGTGTACAGGAAGGCAGGATTTTTTTTTTAATGCATGCATGCGGATTAAGGTCAAGCCCCTAGTATCAGCCATGCAGTGGGCTCTCCCTTCCAGCTGCAGCCGTAGAGCCTACCCACAGCCGCGAGATGCCTTAATTGAGACGTGCTGTCAAAGTGACAAACACATTTGCATACAGTCTACACTCTATTTATTTTCTCTGGAAAGGTCTACAGTCTGCTGTTGGTTGAACATTCTTAATCAGTTTGCTGTAAGTAAACTGCCAGCTAGCTCACTTGTGTCAGCCCCTTCTTCATTAGGTGACAGATTAGCTAGGGTGGGAGGGGAGGCACAGAAATCACAATCCCCCCCCTTTCTTTTAACTCTTTCCAGCTTTGCCCCTTGGTGGTTTGTCCTTCAGTCCTTCTTTCGGACCTTCTTTGATGGTCACAGGAGTGCAGTTCCGTCTGCCCAGCCTGAGTTTTAAGAGTTCTTTCTTCCAGTTTTTAAATGTTTGCTACATTCTTTTGTATTTTCTTTATTTGGCATTGTTCTCTAAACAGTTTGAACTAGTTGGTGTGCATCCAAATTGTAGCCTCACTCATGGCATCTGGAAAGTTCCAGATCCTAGCCCTTGTCCAGTTTCTTTTCTAATCTATAACAAAGTTTAAATGTCTGTGATGTAAATTCTCTTCTTAAGGAAGAAAAACAGACCTCACAATATCTTATATGAAGGAAGGGACCATTGACCTTGTTTTGTGGATCAAGATCGAAAATGCCTGATCAAATACCCGAAAGGACCTATCCAGACTCAGACCCAGCCAGATAGTGCCTGTTAACCTTCTAATTCTCCTCACATCTCATATTCCTGTAGATTTTTTCAAGTTCTCTTAGCTGGAGCTAGGCTTAGTAATACACGTCTGTAATCCTGGGTCTTGGGAAGCTGAGGCAGGAAGTGCATAGGTTTGAAGCCAGCCTGGGATAATTATGACACTCTGCCTCAAAAATAAATAAGGTGAAACAAAATAGAACATGCAAAAAGTTCACTTAGCTGGCCTGTGAAAACCAGAACTGTTGAAATGGCTACATTAACCCTTCTACCTCACAACACTAGCTCTCCTGCCTAGCAGGACAGCCCTTTGAACTCATCCTACAGGGTGACAGCAAGAGGCCCTGTACAATGCCCTCAGCAGTGGTACAGCAGCTGTCACGAGACAAACAGTGCCAAGAGTGGCTATTGTCTATTGTCAGGGAGAAAAGATCGTTTCTTATCTACTGTTCTCTTCAAGACTGGGACTATGTTTCTATTTACATAAAAGCAACCAGCCTCCACCCTTGTAGGACATAATGATAGAGACAGGCCTGTAATGAATAGAAAAAAAAAAAAGAGGGCATGTGTGTGCATGTGTGCGTGTGCATGTGTGTAGGTGAGCAGGTCAGCAGACCACTAGCACTAATCAGTTCTCTCCTTCTACCATGTGAGTCTAGAGATCAAACAAGTCATCAGGCTAGGCAGCAAGCACCTTTACATACTGAACCATATTACCAACCCCTAAAATGCAAACCTTTTAAATAGAGACTAAGGCTAGGCAAGATGTTACACCCCCATAATCCCAGCACTTGAGAGGGACTAGATGCAGAAAGATCAGAAGTTCAAGTCCAGCCTGGGCTACATGGGATGCTGGCAATAAATAAATAAATAAATAAATAAATAGCTGGGTGGTGGTGGCACATGCCTTTAATCCCAGCTCTTGGGAAGCAGGTGGATCTCTGTGAGGAGGGAGGGGCGGAGGGAGGGAAGAAGAAGAAAGAAAGAGCACAAGAAAGCTGGTCAGTGGTGGCACACACCTTTAATCCTAGCATTCAGGAAGCAGGTGGATCTCTGTGAGTTTGAGACCAGCCTGGTCTGCAGAGTCAGTTCCAGGACAGCCAGCACTGTTACACAGAGAAACCCTGTCTCAAAAAAACAAAACAAAACAAATTTTAAAAAAAAAATAAAAAGAAAGGGAGAAAGAAAGAGGAAAGAAAGAAATAAAGAAAGACTGAGTAAAGGGAGTATATTATTACCTAAGCCCTGAGGCTAAATGGCTCCTAAACATTGCTTCAGAGTCTAAAGGACTGAGTTACTCCTCACAGGATAAGTAGACAGTGACAGAACTGCCCAAACACCTAGCAAGGAGGAACTATGGGCCTGGAAGGGATGATTGGGCCTGGAAGGGAGGATAGGGCCTGTCCATGCCCTTTCTTGGGAGAAACTATTCTCCCAAGAAAGGGGTGAGAAGGCAGAGAAGACAGGCTCTTCTGGGATGGGAAGTGGGAATTCTTTCCCGTCCCTGTCTTAAGAAGAGCAGCAGAGTAGGAACAACCACAGGAACAGCACCATGCTATGACCCTCTCCCTTAGCAGGAGTCAGCAGAGGCGGCTTCTACACACACACACGCACACACATACACTCCTCCTATAGAAACATTTCCCTGTAGCTAGTCAAACGGTCAAGTTTCTGGTCTCTGGGTACCTTGAATATCTGTGCTCACTAAAATGAGTTGTAGCCATCAGCTGGTAAGGAAACCAGTTTGGCTGTGCTCATGTCTGCTCTTGAATAAGCAGCAACACCTCTGCTTAAGTATGCACAACCCTTCCTCCCTCCCTGCTAGAGAACTAGACAATGCTTGAGTCCAGGGATGCTTGCTGGTAACTCTGAGTGCAAGCTGCCAAGGCTCATTGAGAAAGAAGTGGGAAGACCAGTCCTCAGACCTTCCAGACTTGCTTCATGTTTCCCACAATTTATTGATCTGCAAACTGGGTAATTGCTTGTTTTCCAATGTACAGATTCCAAATAATACATCTTGAAATGCTCCTCTCTTCTCATTCCATTTGAACAAAGAATTATGAGCTTTTTTCAATGTAAAGTTTAAAAAGCCATTTAGGGGCTAAGGTGATGACTCAATGGTTAAAAGCACTGACTGAGTTTTCTCAAGGATCTAAGTTCAATTCCCAGCACCTACATGGAGGCTCATAACTA